ACAGGCAAGCACAACACCACTGGTTTCTTGTGACGGCCCCGCTGCTGCTGAAGCTACTTCTGCTGCTTCTACACCTATCATTCCCCCTGCTGCTGCTTCTGCTGCTGCTGCTGCTGCTGCCCCCTGCTGCTGCTGCTGCTGCTCCTGCTGCTGCTGCTGCTGAGTCACCTGAGTTCATGGCAGGCTGCAACGATGCGCTGCGTTTGCTGCTGCATGCAGTATATGTTGCGGATAGAAGCAGCAAAAAAAGAAAAAGGAGGAAACAGAGAAACCAAACCAGACTCCACCTTGTCTAGCCAGTCCGATAGCTGCACAAACCCTAAACCCTAAACCCTAAACCCTAAACCCTTGGCCTGACCCCACCTTGTCCAGCCAGTCCGATAGCTGCACAAACCCTAAACCCTAAACCCTAAACCCTAAACCCTTAACTAGACTCCACCTTGTCCAGCCAGTCCGATAGCTGCACAAACCCTAAACCCTAAACCCTGTTGACCCCCCGTTGAACCCCCAAGCCCGGAGCCTAAACCCTAAACCCTAAACCCTAAACCCTACTCTGTAAGTGTTTGAAGGGTTTAGGGTTTAGCTGATCAATGCGTGTAAGGGTTTAGGGTTTAGGGTTTAGGGTTTANAGGGTTTAGGGTTTAGGGTTTAGGGTTTACTCGTTCGAGGTGTATAGGCAGCTCCTGAGGGTCTAGAGAGAGAAACTGAGAGACGTCAAAAGAAGAATCAAAGAAAGCTGCTGGCATTTGCTGCTGCAGCTGCTGCAGCAGCTGCTGCTGCTGCTGCTGCAGCAGCTCCCGCTGCAGCTGCTCCTCTTGCTGCTGCTCCTCAGCAACTCTGCTGCTAGCCAGCAGCAAATCCAACGCCGGGCTGCGCCGCCTGAACTCAAACCCTTCACCGCTGCTGCTGCTGCTGCTGCTGCTGCTGCTGCTGCTGCTGCTGCTGTTGCTGCTGCAGTTCCGCTCGAAGCGAATCAGGTCCTAAGCAACAGCAGCAAACAAGCAGCAGCAACCTAGCATAGATGCAGCAGCACTCCACCATAAACCCTAAACCCTAAACCCTTAAAAAGGGTTAGTCGTTCGAGGGTTTAGGGTTTAGGGTTTAGGGTCTATATTTCTGGCGTGGTGAGGGTTTAGGGTTTACGCTCTTGGATCTAGGGTTT